AAGAGATAATATTTAAAGGAAGGTTTTCAATTGTTTAATCAGAGCGTGTTCCGTCTGCCGAAGGCCACATTACTAGTTGAATTTCTACGATACTGTTCTTGTCTTTGGCGCTGCTTTATTCTCACCTCTAATGCTTGTTACGTCGGTATAGGTTTGAACCAACTTGCGCGTTAATAATTTCCGCATGGTCTTTAGCTAACTTAGTTTTAATTTGAATTTCTATTATTTTGAGTTATGCCATATATGTTGCTTGGTTTGTAAGCACAAGAAGTGCTTTCTGTTAAATTATTTTGAGTTCTGAAAAGAAGGAGCTTTTCCATCTTTCTTAAGTTCTTCTTCGTCTTAGCGTTTAGTCGCTTACACGTCTATTGAAGGATTTGCCACAAGTTACATTTAATTACAGGCGCGATCCCACGAACAATAGTGGACAGTACCGCAAAAAAGGTCTAGTCTGCTTCCCCCCAAGGTTTCAGATCCCAACGGCATCTATTTGGCCCATGGAGGGATTTGGAATTTTGTGGATGTCATGCTGCCTGCCATGAAACCCACAGTGACTTTCCATGGAAAAACCTCAGTAAATAAATTCCTTGGAGTTAAATTATCATTTTGTTCTGTATCCAGTGTCAGAAGCACAGTCAATTTCAAGCGCCATCTTAGCAGGACAGGCTTACAACTGGTATAACTCTATTGGCAAATTTGTGTTGGATGAGCCAGGGAGAGATACCTACACATTTGAAACATTTAAAAACTCGTTCGTTAAATTGTTCCCAATTATAAAAAATAGAGCTAAACTCGAGGCAGAAATCTTTACCAAGTATCAGTTTAAAGGCCAGGAATTGACTGGTATTATTTTGAGGAAAATCAAAATTTTTTGTACTCAATAGGCCTGACTAAGAAATTATACAAATTATCTTACGTGGTTATTGCCTCAAATACAAGATCTCTTCGAACTAAGAAACCCAACGACACTTGAGAATCTATTCGAATTCGCTAGAAATTTAAAAGCAGACACGTAGTGGAAAAGACACGTATGGCAGGATATGACGTGAGGCCTAATGAGCAAAATTTGAGGCATGTACCTAAGTGAAGGCCACAGTTTTGCCAGAATAAGCATTTTGATAATAGGAAAAAAAGATTCAGCAGCGAGTGGAGACAAACAAAATGAAAGGTAAAAGCGAAAACAGGGTTTCCCCGTGTTTTTCGCTATTTCTTGTAATACCAAAAATATAAACCAGGCAGGGGTACTGAAGATAAGAGGGTACAGTTAACCCTGGGGCAAGAAAATACCTCTAAAATTCAATTAAATACGGTTTTTCTTAAAAATCTTGCATTGTCAGTAGGGAAGGTATCGCTAAATAATGTGCCTGAAGATGTCTTGCTAGGCATGACACTGAGACTCAGTGTAGTTTTCTATCAGACAACTCTTTACGAAAATGCTTTAGAAGTTTTAGACTGTCGATGCAACGGAAGTAAAAGTTATTACCGCTCAAAGCATAGGTAAAGCAGCTTTGCATGTTCAAGTTAAAAATGAACAGCAAAAGGTCGTATTCCTTGTCGTGAAAAACCTTCAAGCGTCTGTAATCATGGGTATGGAAGTTTTAACTGCGGCGAGTGCGAAATTGAATTTTCAAGAATTCATTCTACAGCTGGGTATGAAGAAACTGGAAGAAGGAAGAACACATCCACCGATGATTGACCTGACACATTTAGGTGCGGAAGAAAAGGAAAAGTTTGGAGTGTTTGGTAAGTCAGTTTTCTACCAAACTGGAACAAGCGCGAACTAAAAATTAGCATTCTAACAGAAAACTGGAAAGAAAGAATGACAGTAAAGATATTTTACATAAAATAACTAAGATAAAAAAATCCTTATAAATCTTTAATCTTAAATTTTAAACTTAATTTACCGATTTTTGGTGATTTTTGTAAAACTTGATTGATGATAATGACGGATTTTTAAATCAAAATTGTCAAACAAAAATTGAAATGAAATGAATGTAATATTTCACCACCAAACAGACTAGAAGTCATTTCAAAGAAAGAATGAAAAGAAATAATTTTCCCGTATCTAGAAGCCCAATTTCCTTTATTATCCATCCCTAAAAAACTTTAAAATATAAAATACATATATACACAATTTTCTTTAATTGCAACCTTTTAGTTAAAAGTACTGAAAAAATGATTATTTTTCCTAACATAATTTTTGGTCCTAAAAGTACAATCGAAAAGTTCCTGGGGGGTAGGAATCTTTTTTTTTTTTTCTTCTTTTTTCTGAACGTACGGCAGTTAGGAAAAAAGTATGCATTAACAGAGTTTTAAAACACATAGAAGAGGCAGTGCAGGAGTGGCATAATGATGGCACAGGAATGAATTTATTAATTAACTTAAATTTCTCTTTGACAAATTTAATTTAAAAGCTTTACGATTTGTTAGTAGCTTTACGATTTTGTTTTCAGTCTCGTGCAGCAATTAATGCATTGATTATTTAAGAGGTAATCTTTTAATTCTTTTATTTATAAAACCATGTATCTTAAAATTTGTACTGTACATTGCTACTACCATTTATTCAAAATTACAAGTCAGTCAGGATAATGAAGAATTAAACTCACACAAAGGCAATAAGTGGCCAAACATGGAAAATTACGCAATACATAAATAAAAACCACCACTCAGTTGTACTGAACAAACAACTAAAAATAAATGCCCAATAACATAAAATTCATAAAAATAAATAGTCAAATGATACAATCAAATCAGCATAAATATGAACATGAATTATAACAGTGTGTCTTCTTCACTGCCTTGAAAGGGGAGGGGAATTCTGTGGACTTGGGATTTCTTTAAGCGTAAACTGCACTCCATTGTATTCACATGTGTAATTTCTGATATTAGAGATATCTTTAAATTAGTAATGCCTATCTTTCTAAATTTCTGGAGTTCAAGCTGCATTATCATTTGTTTATCATTCACTCAGCTTACAATGTCCCCTCCCCCCACTCACTCACAAAACAGTACACCACTCCACACCAATCGTCACCTGTAAGGTGATTGGACACAAATGCCTGTGGCAATACGTTTCGATTTAATTTTGTTTTGATAAGATATACCGTGTCCATGAAAGTCCTGATACAGCCTTTATTTTACTGACCGTCAGTCCCAAACACATACTTTCAGTTATAAAAATGCCTTAAATAACAGATATTCAAATTTTGATATTTTTAACTTCTGAAATTCACAATTACAAAAACTACGAAACTTTATTTTTTATATGTTTCCCGGTCGATATAGTCATATAAAGTTTTTTCTTCCTCTTTCCGCATGCCTTCGTGGCGTAATTGGATGGTGTGGTGGTGTATTGAGAGTATGGCAAACCACACTAGGGCTATCTGCCTAAGGGGAGGGATGCCTTCGTGGAGGACTTTCTAAGGAAAACTGGCTCGTATACACGTTACACATGAGGAAAACCATGAAAACGCCCATGCAGCCAGCCCGTTCGCGGGATTCGAACCTCGGACCGAACTACCAGTGTTCAGCGATTTTACCGCTCGGCCGCTGGTGGGCCTTGGCCTAATTGGAAGCATAATCGACGCATTTTTGGGAGGTCCAGGGTTCGAGTCCCGGCGAGTGCATTGCACATGTTTCACGTCTCCTGCTTAAAAAACCCCTAAGGACTCTACAGTTATGTTAAAGAACCTACGTGCTCTAAATAAGACGCAAATTTGTCCCTGATACGAAAAACATCGACCGAGGTACCTAATTTTAAAATTTGGAACTTTTATGGGGTATTAAAAATAAATTGAATACATTTAGGTACCACGAGGGCGTTTTCTTACAAGACGTTTATAAATTTTTAATTGGTTATACGTGTCAATAAATTTCACGTACTATTTGATATCAATAGGACCATAATATAATAGTCATCCAAATAATTCATTCGATTAAAAATATTTTTCACTTTTAATCCATATAAATTTTAATGGTACGAATTGTCTATGAGCCAATTCTTAAAGTCTGCTACCATTTCTTAAACACGAATTCTGTAAGAATCTCTGAATAAGATCTCCTTTTTGAAAAACGTGTGTATTAATCAGAACTTTTTTCACAACAGTCTGCGCATTAGTACTCCTCTTTTATATAAATTTATGTATTTTTCATTTCAGTTTCCTTAAACCATTGAATTAATCGGTTATTTCTGTCGTCTGGGGATCAATTTTTTATATTTTATTTTTAGTGTAAACCCTTTTGATGAATGTAACTATATAAAACATGAACTATATAAAAATTAGATTTCGTAATTTTTACAAAATTGATCTAACTTAAATAGGTCAAAATATGAACATATATGTCATAAAAGCATTTTTATGGTTATACATATATGTCTGTAACCAATAACTTTTATGAACAAGGTATATCTCACTGATATAAATAATAAAAATTTGAAATGTATCCAAATGAGCAATGCCATATATATTACATAAATCGGTATCATTTGTATCCATACATGTTTTTAAATCTGAAGGCACTTTTGAAACAGACTGTCTAATGGCAGATGTAGGAGAAGAAAGCTACATGACTTTTTTATTTGTTTCTGTGAAGCCTTGATTTCCGATGAAAGACTGAAGAGATTTTGAGAGAAAAATCTGAATAAAAACTTTCTTGAGCTGAAATAAAAGCGGCTTTTAAAAAGTGTTTTAGCCCTAAACCCCAATCTCCTTTTTAAACTCTAAAAAAAAGTCTCTCTTCCCTTTTTTTCCTTTTAACTATTGAATTTTATTTTTACTAACACTTTCACATATGGTCAATTTGTGGAAATAATTTTAATTCCAATGCTCATTTCCAAAAGTGATTTTAAAATGATTTTTCTCATAATATTTTTCTTCTTTCTTTTTTACTTTCATTACTGTCACTAAGAATTATTGGTAATTAAATGTCAGTGTTATGAATATTTTAACATAATATTAAAGTATGAGGAAAAAGAAAGTTTTTTATACGAATATACTCACGAGCTAAAGATGTCCATACAAACAAGACTGGAAATATGCAGCCGAAGAACTGAAAGAAAAACACAATTAATTAGACACATATATAAAATGAAACAAACAAATTTCACAAATTAGAAACTTCCTAAATGAGCTTTTTCCGGCATATGGAGTCACTTTATGGTTACCTTTTAACATTTATCATGCACTTGACCAAGCAAGTGTTGCCTCTGCACGAGGTATAAGGTCACAAACAGTTCTCAAGAATGCTGCCATTCGACGTAGAATAAGCTCTTTGAGTTATCTTTCTGATAAAAGTTGCTTTACAAAGTATGTGATTTAAAATCAACAGACACACAAAATAATTTAGATCTTTACCTTACTTTTTAATAATATGCCTAAATGCATTAATTTAAAATTAATTAATAATTTTGATAACTTTTATGAAATTTTGCAATATTACTTACTTAATACGATACACTTGTAATATCATGCATTATATATTTTGGTAAAGAATATTTTGAATATTTTTAATACAACAGTGTTACGATATTTTATGGAAATGAATTAAATTTGATATATCTAAGAATTTAATTAGTTTAAAAAACACTGCTCTCGAAGTATCAGTATCAACACCAAAAATTGCAATGTTTGCCTTTATTTTCTTTTAGGTTTAAGTAGTAAAACTGGGATCTCTTCATTTCCTCATTCCAGGAGAAAATAACATTAAAAAAAGCTATAATTCTTTTTTTCTGCCTGAATATTTTCTGAGTTAAATATATTGACCCTTGTCATGACTTCGCGTTTTATCATCACTGGTACAGTATCCCTCATTTTTGCCAATAACCTTGCTCTTCAGTATACAAAACTAGTAATGCTTTGTATACTTAGAAATAAGTTTATCGCGCAGAAAAGGGCAACATTCTTGACCTAGAACTTCTACTGAAATTTTCTTCTTTCCCCAGAATAAGTATTCGAAATAAGAAGCAATTTCAAGAATTACCAGCAAGTAACTAAATAAGCATTACACCTTGCATTTTCTTATAGAAATTTTACAAATATAGTCGCCTACCAATTTCCAAGTGATTAAGTCCGATGAATACTGGTATAATTTGCGGAATACTTAAGATCTCTGAAATTATTTGCTGTGTTCATTATCCAGCAGACGAGAACGGGAATTTCAGTGGTCTTTCTCTATATGTAACGTAAGTGGGAAGTGGAATTCCCTAGAAAGATCTCCACGAAGACGTCCCTTCCTTAGAAAGGTAACCTCAGTTGCTTTGTCTTATTTAATTAATTAACCATTACCAGCAAGTGAAGATTTGGGAATGCTAATAACGGCGTTAACATTTACTAAAGCTCTGTTTGTTTTAATACGGTAAAAAACACAAAGCTGTATAATTAAGGAAGGGGACGCCTTCATGAAAAACTTCTTAAAGAAAATTTAACTTAGATAACAGCATGAATAAAAACGTGGAAACTCCCATGCAGCGAGCTCGTTTGCCGAGGTTTGAATTCTGGTCAAACTACAAATGCTAAGCTGTCTTAATCACTCGGCCACTGGCGGAGTGATCTAATCAAAATACCGACCGACACTATTCTAAATACAAAATCACTCGGGCGCGCGGAATTGGTAAATTCCGCCAGTGGAATTACCAATTCCGGCACTGGCAAATTTAAGCGGCCTAAGGTATTTAGTTTTACCAATTCCGCCACGGTAAATTTAAACACCGAATCACTCGGCCACTGGCGGAGCGGTCAAATACAATTTAATAAACCAAATATGAGATCAAGATTTACATTTAAATAAATGCATTTTGATACATTATATTTTTATGCAGAGATTTTCTGCACTATTATTAAGATTTTCTGCTTATTTTTAAGATATTATTTAGTAATATCTTTATTATTAAAATTTTCTTAAATGCACGGATTTTCTCCATAATTATTATCATTCCTTTCTTCATTATTATTTCAATAAGTAGGACACATATAAGAGAAGATTAGTTATCGCCGAGGCTGGGTATAGATAATAATAGACAAATGAATGTGAATTTTTATGATTTTGAACAATTAATTTTTCTCGTATTCTAGAAATTCGCAAAAATTGAGTGGTCGTTCAAGGTAGAAATTTCTGAATTTCAAGCTCGAAATTTTGGAATAAGATTATTTTTCTGTATATTTGATGAGAAAATTCTCATGAAATTAAGGTTAATCTTATTCAAATATGAAAGTTAATATTAAGATTAAAGTTATAAAATATTTTAGGGTTTTTTTATCCAACTTTTTAAAAGTTAGTGAAAGATTTTGGTATTCGAAACATCTCAGAAAATCCTCTAAAATTGTTGAATACTATCATGGAAATTCGTTCAGCAGTAAAATTATAGCTTGCATAATTCATATCTTGTTTACTTTGAAATTATTCTCACAAAATTTATAGCAACCATTTAGAGAAGATAAATTATTTGTTTGTTAAGCGCAAAAATGGAATCTTTAACTAGGAAAAAAAGTGCTATTATTGAATCAAAATATTTATTGTATTATTAGATTTATTAACATGTACTAAACTTATTTATTCAATGAAGAACTAACATCTTGTAATATGCTGATTATAAATTAATTAATTAGTTAATAACAGAAGCGCCATAAAATAAAATATCCATATTAAGTAAAAAAAAAGATAAAAATTTAGCAACTGCGGGCAGGATTATCCTTGTCATGATGGAATAGGCATAGACAACTAAAACCTAAACCATTATGGAATTAGGGTAAAACTGGAGACTTTCCATGTACTTACTCAAAATCAAAATTCAAGTCAAGGCAATTTAATTTCCTATTATGAATAAACTCCACTTTCCTTCCTAAATTTAAATGATGTAAATGCGAAAAAGACTAAGAATACGTTTGAGCATTACTTCAGAATATAACGCTACGAAGACAGTTATGAAGAATTTCTGTAGTTTATGCTTTAAATATAAAAGACCCCAAAGTCAAATTCAACTATTATTTCAAAATATACACAAGACAAAGAACATCTGCGTGCTGATCTAAAGGCTGTGGCATTACTAATGGCACTACAAGTAAGCTTTAATCAAGCACATTTTAATTGTAATGGAATAGTTTACAAGGGACAACTGTATATTAAGACATTTTATAACAGAGATATAAATGGTACATGAAGCTTTAAAGGAATATTTCTAAGGTTTATTTCAGCTAACAAATAAATTTTTTTGTATTAATTCTTTTCTGTTAATTCTCTTTATTCCTTCGATCTTCCATCAGAATGAAAATTAGTTGAGTTTAAATGGCACAGCTGTGTTATTTAGGGAAACAGCTAGAGCAACACACTAGAAAGCGATTCGTTTTCTGAGTTTGTTACCAACATGCCGATCTAGTTTTAATGAGTGATATCTGAATTTATTAGTGTTAAGTCGCGGATAGCTGAAATCCAGTTGATTAGGTACTGAAGTTAGTTGTAGTGTTGTGCACATTAAAGAGTATGCCATTCTAGGAATTTGCAAGTAGCAATGGACAACTTTTGTTATAGTTATATGTACAAAACATAAAATTTAATAAATCTTTTAGTTTGACCTTTGTCTGTGAACTTGGAGCTTTAGACTTTCGTTGTCTGTTACTTTAAAGCAAGCACTTCAGACTCGTAGCAATCCTCCTATTATTAACGATCATAACATGCATTGTCATGAACACACATAGGAAATTGGAGATTTTAGTTAAATTAGAGGATTAAACCTTTTCTTCGAAACAGTTGTCGCCATGATTTGGAGAAAAGAAATGGCCCGAAATACCTGCTCAAAATAAATTGACTATAGCGAAATGCGAAGAAGAGAAATGAGCAGAAGCACAGGATAAAAATATTTAAGTTATACATAATTTTGGTTTAATCTTATAGAGTTTCTTAGCAACATTTGCGTCAAAACCTGCTTCTTATTAAACTGCTTGTCATAGCTACATATAAAAAGATAAATGTATTGTAACAGAATATCTGAAAGAAGTAGGTTTTATTCCTTGGTTCCTTTATGAAAACTAAATGTCGTCTTTGTGTTCAGTACAGTGAAGTACAGAAAAAACACTAAGAAATATTGTGAGGGAAGAAAGTGTTATTTTAAATGCAGAACAGTGTAATTTATAATCGTTTAAATAATTATTAATAAGCTTCTTAGAAAACTACAGAGAAAGAGCTTTTATTAGACTAACAATACTAGTCTTTTTTATTAGATTAACAATAAGTTCCATTACCGGAAAAATACGAATTTCTAGAATAAATTTAATGTCATCTTTGTTTCGCCATTTATAACTATGTAAACATATTCGTAAACTTCTTTTATTTTCCACAATAGTTTAGGTCTACCATAGTTTCCAACCTTGAATTAATGTGAGGTTGAGGATTGTTGCGTTTATTTTATTCGTTAAAGTCTGTTTTGCGTTTGATGTAGTAACATTCAGAATCACGGTACGAAGTTCATCTGTCATTTTTTCTTAAGTTTTTTTTTAATCTTTGAAAATATCTGTTTGCTGCCAGTGTGTGCAACTCATGCTGTGATTACACTGAAACTTTTGAAATTTAAATTGCTTATATTAGATAAAGAATGCATATTTGAAAATTTTAAGTTGATAGATCAACATCTAGTGGAATTTTCAATGCTGTTAATACAGCATATATCGCAATTTTGGATTGTTACTTTTGCTGGAAAAATTCAAAAGTTTTTTGGATAGTTTTATTTATAATATTTAAACAAGGCATTTTTTAAAGGTGAATCTGCTGGTATTTTTAATGTTATAGAGTTTAGTGATGTTCGCAATCATCCAAAGAATCCAAATTCTTGGTAGACGTTAACCGAAGTATCACCAAATCTAAAATAACAACTAAAATCTGGGAAGGGCGTAAAGACCCTTTATTTAAAACTGAATAAGAATAGAAGGCACAGGTTATGCTTACGGAGAAATAATTTAGTAGTAATAGTAAGTCAAATGTAAAATTTAAATTCAAATAAACAAGTAGCTGAAGGCTACGCAATCAAATTAATGCAAAGTTTTGGAGCAAAACTTACCCGC